ATATATATATATATATATATTATTATTATATTCAATGTATTTTCTTTTTTGATTATCCAAAAATGATACTGAAACGTCTAAATACATGCCGTTCGCTGGTGATTTATCAGCATTCTAAAGATAATTATTGCCGACTTCACCTCAGTGTTCTTGGGGATAGTCTGTGCCTTCAGTCATCTTAGTGTTCTTGACGACAGGTCGTCTCGGGGTGGTATAATGTCGTCATATGAGGGATGTACTCTTCGTTTTTTTCATGCTCATTTGTACCTTTTTGTTTGTTTTTTGTGTTCACGGCCATATCCAGGATTATCATTTGGGATTGCGGAGTAGGCCTACGGTAATGTGAACCAACTGGGTTCAGGGGACATTATTGAACTCCCTATCCTTGCTTCCTACCTTTTTTGTACTACTTGAATTGTTTAATAATAATATTCATGTTTTTTTTTTCACTTTTCCTATAGGTAATCTTGAAGACTGCAGTAGTAACAACACAGACGATAACCTGCATCTTTGTCCCAAGACGGGTCCCGTGGTTTCGATACTGTTTGTCATCTACCTGTTGGTAGGAAACGTCCTGTTATTGAACCTCCTCATTGCAATATTCAGGTAGAAAATTTGAGTTCAAACAATCAATCAGTCAGTCAATCAATTAGGCTTATTTAATGAGTCAATCAATCATATAATTAATCAACCAGTTGGTTAGTCAATCAATCAATCAGGCAAGCAGTTAGTCGTTTATAAATGAGGTTCTGGAAGGGGTGTTTATTTGTGGGTGACGTTTGTTCATCGAGGGCATTAACTATGTGTCCCATGAGCGGGTGGGAATGAACACCCCAATTTGTGGCGAAGTCGGACGCCTCCCCATTTAGTTTTTTAAAATTATGTGAAAAATAGAGAAAAAAGAAAATTATATTAAAATTTATGTCTTCTGAGAGTGCCATTTCCGGACATACTGTATGAGGTCTCATAGTCATAATTTGAGGGTGCTCTATCCGGATAAGTCCCTCCGCGGGCCCCCTCTTATTTATTTAATTTGAAAAAAATTGAGATAAAAAGAAAATTATATTAAAATTTAATTCTGAGAGTGCCGTAGGTATAACATTTTGTACCGTCAGCCAAAACTATGTTAGGGTTGTGAGGTGGTCTCCTGGATCCGCCACTGAAACGTGTCCTATCCTGTATTTTTCAAAAACTTTGGACATTTCTTTTAATATTTATTTGCTATACAACAATCTCATTATTTATATTTCTTACAGTTTTGTTTTTGATGAGATTCAAAGCAAATCCGAGATGATTTGGAAGTATGAAAGATATGCACTAGTGATGGAATATGTTGATAAACCTACTCTCGTACCACCATTTCATGTCTTTGAAATAATTATCAAATGGTTGTACAGAAAGCACATCAACTCATGTTGCAAACAGCATTCCACAAATGGTAGAAGTTTTTCATTTTATTTTCGGTTCATTAGATGTGTTGTCAAGTTTAAAATGCAGTATACATGAAATATTTGTTGTTGACCCCTACAGAAATAATCAAAATAAATTGGACGTTATAAAAAATAAGTTAATTTTCACCATACATTATACTGGTTGTTTAAGTAAATAACATCATTACAGATAATCTTTTAAATTTTGAGTTGTTTAGTTGGATGGAGTTATGTACAAATAATTTTTACATTTACTATTTTAATTGTAAGTTATAACTGACATTTTATGTTACGTCTAACCTCCTTAATTAAAATCGCATTTCATTCAAATGTTCATGTTTATAAGCATGAAAAATCAGCCAGCGACTGCCATCAATACCTTTATGAGGCCTACCACATTAATTGAAATGATAGAACTTTCTTTTTTTTTAAATATAAAGTTCAGTATGTTAAAATCTTTGTTAATATGTTTTGCAGGTTTGTACGAGACAGATGATGAGTTGAAAACATTCGAGAAGGAATGTGCTGCAAGATATCTTTGGAAGAAGGCAGAACTACAATATTCAGAAGTTAGTGAGAAGGTTGACAGAATTGAAAAAAAGTAGGTGTAGTGTAGACCATATGTAACCTTATTTTAAGTACAAGCTGAGTTTTAATACACAGCATTGCATGATTTTAATCTTACTCTAAGCATTTTCAAACCATTTTAACCATCTTACCAATTTTATTATACAGTTTCTGTTTCTCTTGTAAATTTTAAATTCGACTTTTAATCCAAATTTTAACCCTCTGCAATTTTTACCCGTTCCTGTTTTACTGGTATTTTAAATAATTTTGAATGGTTTTAAATGCTCAAGTTAAGACTAATTGATTTTAAACATCACTGCATATTTTATTGAAATGTTTTTTTAGCTTTGTCTTTTGTGTGTCGTTTTTAAATCTGTGGTTTATGTTTTACTGTGAATGAATGCACTGTATGACGTGTGCCACTGATTCAGAAGTGTAGTTCTCAAAAAGTTGTTATTATTATCACAGATCCAATATACTAGGATCTGTGTTATTATGTAAATACTTTAAATGAAAAACATAATTATTTTCATTAAAATTCAAACTTGCCGCTTAACCTGTCACATACACACACTCACAGTATTATTTACACAAGACACACCAACCTTCCACACTCCATCTTTAATATAGTTTGCAGGTCAATTGAATAACAATCCATTATCTGTTCCTGAATCTGCAAAACATTCTTTCAAATTTAGACTGTGTGCACCTTTACTGCCTTCACTAATGTCACTAGTTCTGATTATGTCTTTTGTACTACTGCGGTGGCTGTTGGTTGCTGCTGCAGCTGCTGCCGCCCATGCTATACTAAAAAGCAATTATTTGAGAAAAACAAAATTAAAGAAAAAAGATATGGTTCCTTTTTCTTTTCGAAACTCCAGGCTTGACGATTTGTTAAAAACAAAGTCAAACAAATCAGAAGAAGGCAATTTAGATGTTAGTGTCAAGGTTGACAGAATTGAAAAAAAGTATGTGTAGTGTACGTAACCTTATTTTAAGTATAATCTGAGTCTTAATACACTGCATTGCATGATTTTAATCTTATTTTAAGCATTTTCAAACCATTTACCAGTTTTATTATACAGTTTCTTGTAAATTTTAATAGGACTTTTACTCCATATTTTAACCCTCTGCAATTTTTACCCGTTCCTATTTTATTGGTATTTTTAATAATTTTGAATGGTTTTAAATGCTCAAGTTAAGACTACTGTAATTGATTTTTAAAATCAATGTATATTTTATTGAAATGTCTTTTTAGCTTTGTCTTTTGTGAGTTGTTTTTAAGTTTGTGATTTATGTTTTATCCATATTTCATATATTTTGCAGACCACATTGAATAACCATCCATTTTCTGTTTCTGAATCCCTAAAAACATTCTTTCAAATTGACATTGTGTGCACATTGACTGCATTCACTAATGTCATTAGTTCTGATTGTCTTTCCTACTACTTCGCCTGTTGCTGCTGCTACTAACTATACTAAAAGTGCAATTATTTGAGAAAAACAAAATTAAAGAAAAAAGATCTTGTTCCTTTTTTTTTTCAAAACTGCAGGCTTGACGATCTGTTGAAAAAGGGTAAAGGTAAGGTAGGAGGTAGGTTCTGAGCAATCTACGGATAGAAATAATCGCATTGGTCGGATGGTTGGTACGGTTCCATCATGTCTGAGGGCTCGTAACTTCAATGATGGCACGCCATCTGTCGATCTGCAGCCAATTGATACAGCCAAACCAAAGATATATTTCTGTCTGTCCACCTCCACTTGGACGGCTGTGCTTTCGAGTTCCCTTGATCTCGATGTGCCAAACACATTGGACATTGACTAATCTCAAAGTGTAATCGAATTTAACAACGAATTGCAAGTTATGTAATTATAATTATTCAGACAAGAGGGGAAAGTTTTGCTTTGTAGCCTATTACAAATGAAAAACGAAATTCTGATATTTTATGTAGAGATTTTGTTATTTTATATAGTTAAATACTATGGCATTTAAACAATGGTAGGGTATAGGACGATATCTTTTTGATTGTCGTTTTGGCTTATAGTCTATATTAACAGGTATTTGTAATAGTATTACATTTCTTTATTGGTTTTAGTTGTAGAGAGAAATATGAATGCTTAGCATAATCTTCAATTTCAGATATTATACTATTGCTGCCTAGTGTTATTAAAGTATATTGAGCATTTAACGCATTGGGCATTGAATAATTACAAAGTATGGGGGACATTTCGTGAGCCCACACCCACCGAAAATTTTAGGAAATAGTAGCTCTAGATGACCGGAAATGACACTTTTATATAGAAAAATTCATCATCACATCACCATTATAATACATTAGTCAAAATGAAGCGCCAACAAATTTCTCATGATGTTTACCAGCGATTTTCGGCAACCATAGATTTAATATTGTACTATAGAAAATAAATATTAAAAACATTGTCTTTGATGTATTTAATTTTTTTTTGAATTAGTAGATGGCTAGATGCTTTTGAATGTCATCTGAAAAGAAGTTAAGCTTAAAATATAAAGTGTATGTTTTACGAGATTAGCCTACTACATGTAACATGTATACATGAGAAGCACACACAAGACGAGTGACCATATTTTTTTAAATTTCGAGGTCACCAAAGGGCGGTCGCTAATCACCCTATTCGCCAACCCCCACCCCCGATTCGCCACATGTACTTGTAGCCTCTGTTAAGCAAGGGATCGTGGTATTTAATGTAGTTAAACATTATGACATTTAATAAACAAAATGATTATCATCTTTGTTTATAGCTATAGGCCAAATTACAATATTTTAGATGGTTTCTTTAGAAATATGAACGTAGCTGCACCAAATATTTTCAATTTCAAGTATATTATCATTACTCAGTAGTATATTGAGTATAAACGCATTGAACATTGACTAACCTCAACGTGTAATTGGATTAAACGATGAATTGCGAGCTATCACGTTTAATACTGTACAGCATCCGCAAACGTTAAAATATAAAAGCATAGATATTGTAAACAGAAAATAGTTTGAAAACACAGTTCAGACTATTTCAGACCTTATTGAGACCTGAAATGTGGGGTTGTCTTCAGTTAGCGGGTTGGTTTTACATTTAAAAAACTGCCATTTCATTAAAAAAAAAAAAAAAATGTGGGATCTAGATGTTTTTTATCACTTTGTTTATTGATTGCTTGTATATTATCTTGACATACAGGCTATTGTTCCATTGTCCCTATACCTTGCTTCACTTCATGTTTGTATACAGTATTTGTCGTACGTCCGGTACATATTTATATTGTGTCATCTTTAATAAAATCTGGCAAATTTATACCTTGTTCCCAGGTTATATTTAGTAAAATATATATATTTTTCCCACATTGGCACTTTTAATGGAAAGCTAACTGCTAAGTGCTGTAGTTTGGGTTATATTTGATCTATACTCATTTGAAGGATGAATTCATTTCTACCTTAAGAAATTTAAGAATTTACAACTGGTACAATCATTAGGCTGCATTATTTATTGCAAATGTTATTCATATACCTATATACAGTAATTTGTTTTTTCATGAAGACAATACAATGTGTAAATATCTGCTTGCAAAAAAGAGATTTAAATGCATTTGATGTAACAATAAATTGCACATAAGAACCCACAAACTTCATTTTGTTTTGTTTTTGTCAAAAGTTGTGGTTTTATTGATTTTATCATTTACTTATTGTTATTTGTCAAATCTTTAATTGTCTACTATTTTTAATTCTAAAGAAAATTATCAGTTGCAATTAGGCCATGTAAAAAAATTAGTTGCTAGTCTAAACCTATATTGTAGGCAGTGGCAATAAAGAAACTATTATATTATTTCTTTACATGACCTATTTGAAGTAGCATCTTCAAAATCCTGGATCAACCAGCAGGAAAAGATACACAAGGAGACTGTACTCTCACACTGGCTTCCTCTTGAGATTGGGCATTTTTTGAAAATTATGCTTACAGTCGATATAACATACACCTTTACAATGAATACATTGTTACAAAGTGTCACTTTGATATACCAGTTTTCTTCACTTTCAGCTGAGGGGGCGTGTGACAAACACTATGGGATCACTATCACCGATAGTCGTATTTGTACATGTTGTATGCATGTTTTGACAAAATAGCACATTAAAAAAATAATTTGAAGAAATTCTGGAATGCGTGAGAATATATATAGGCCTCGCTTGAGAGGTCGAAGGTAAACGCGTGAGACTTGTGAAATGCGCGAGACTTGACAGGACTGCTCTGTCCCACTATGAAGCATTATGTGACAAATACACACGTGATACAAAATCTCTGTCTAGACATCAAATTTTCTTTTACAATATATCCATACGTAGTCATGATGTGTATATTGGGCCTGCCATGCCAAAACCAGCATCAGCGATCAGAACAAGAAAACTTTTTAATATTATATTCTCCACATTATAAGCTTTGTCGTGATTCTAATTGTTGCTGATTTTTTTTTTTTTTTTTCCTCCTGTGTCAGTCCTTTTTCTCTGTGTTCTGATTTTCTCGCTTGTTGCATTTTAATGATATTTGTGAGGCCTCACCACAAAATGAGTCTCATGGTTGGAATATGAACAAAAATTGAGTTTATATTATATTTGGGTAGATCGCATTATAATCTTTAATTTGGTCTTTGAATGGCTTCACTAGGATATGTAGATCCAGAGATGTGAGCATTTAAATATTATGTGTAAAAAAACCACATTTTGAAAGAATTGGCCTCCAAGATAAACTCTCCTGTACAAATAATAGGACTAGAATTACAGAATATGCAGAGAACACTGTTTTAGTAGGAAAATTCACCTAAAAAGTATATAATCATTAAATATAAATGTCAAGTTATCAAAAAACATTAAAATCAAAATTGTGTAAATTTTTGACTTTTTTGGTGATTATCTCAAAATGATTTCACCAACGATGCGTCTCATTTCGTGGTGAGACCTCACATTTTATCTTTTAATAATCTTGTATTTTGTACATTTTGTAAATCTACTTGAAATTCAGTTATATTTTACTGCTATGAGTTATGATAATAAAAAACAGAATGAATTTAAAATGATAGGACATTTACTGCAATTGACTTGCCAAAGTTATAAATAAAAGGATTATGTCTTCTCTGTACTAGGCCACATCCATCTGTTAATTATTCAGTACAGTATAAACAATTAGCAACATTATGCTGGTTTTGGGATGGCAAGCCTCATATATTCTCATGATGTGATGTCATCATGACCATATTTAGGCATGATGTGCCTATATATGGTGATGATGTGATGTCATCATGACCATATTTATTTATGTCAAATATAATTTGAAAGTCTGGACAAAGCTTACAGTAAGTCAAGTTATACATAAACATGTGACATGCCTATATATGGTCATGATGACATCACATCATGACCATATACAGGCACATCATGACTATATATGGGCATACAACAGTTTTTGGCAGTGTGGGCAGCAGCTTAAGTTGATGTATATTGCCACTACAACAGGACATTAATGATACATCCTCTATCTTATTCATTGCTCAATATGCCTAAATAAATAATATAAATAAGAAACCTTTGGTTGTTAACCATAGGTGGTACATATCAGTGGTTCTCGAACATTTTGACCAACGACCTAAACGTCCAGGCAATGTCGTGACCTAGTTCCCAAGACATTAAAAAACATTTACCTGTACTGTACTCAAGATGTTATTAACTGGTAAACAGAATTTTGTGTCGCGATTAATAGTTTGAGACCGTCAATACCTCTATTATGTTTCCAGCTTGTGGTATAATGTACACTAATGTAAGGTACTCTAAAGAAACTAAAACACAAGGCTATCTAAGAGCCTAAAACTAATTTCCACTGTCAATCAATCATTAAATTAGTAAACTACAGCAATTTGTTCACTGCTTCAAATACAAGCCATGGGTGTAGGCTGTTTTTTTGGGGTTTTTTTTTGGGGGGGGGGTGTGC